TTCTCACTGCCTGGCAAAGAGCCTGGTATGTTGTGGGTGAAAGATCAAACTGTGTGTTCGCTTGAGTGAAAGAAACCATGAAGTAATTATGTAGTGACACTGGTGACTCCTGTGGTATGGCAGAAGTTTAAGAAATCATGGATTCTTTTAATCTCAACAAATCTTTTTTTTTTAAAGATTTTATTTATTTATTTGAGAAATAGAGTTACAGACAGTGAGAAGGAGAGACAGAAAGGTCTTCCATCTGCCGATTCATTCCCCAAATGACCACAATGGCTGGAGTTGAGCTGATACAAAGCCAGGAGCCAGGAGCTTCTTCTGGGTCTCCCACATAGGTGCAGGGGCCCAAGGACTTGGGCCATCTTCCACTGCTTTCCCAGGCCATTGCAGAGAGCTGGGTCGGAAGAGGAGCAGCCAGGACTAGAACTGGTGCCCATATGGGATGCCGGCACTGCAGGCAGAAGATTAACCTACTGCGCCACAGTGCTGGTTCCTAAACAAATCTTTACACTTAGTTGTACTACTAAGAGAAAGAAAGCCAAGGCATGATTATTTAATTAAGGAGGGAGTAGGTTCTTTGTTTTTATTTTTTAAGTATTTGCGTTTCTAAGAGATTGCTGGTTATGACAGATAAAATTTTAGTAGGGCTCAGTTGCAAATAGTAACCAGTTTCAGAAAAGATTCAAAGTCAAATAAACAGTGCTAGAAATATACCTGGCTTTGGTTCTTTTCTTTGTGTCTCAGTAAGAAGGATGCTGCACAAGCAAAACAATAGAAATCCACTGCACACCAGGGGGCTGCAATAGAACAGGGGGCCTGCAGTTTGCTGGGCACGCTGCAGGTGTGTTTAGCCTGCACTGCATACGCAGGGCCTGACAACACGCTTAACCAGAATTCATGAATTGTATTTTATTAACTAACAGTGTTTTATTATTTCAACGTAACCTGTAAGAAAATTATCTTTACATTTAATAAAATCTCAAGTACATTAATATGAGTATGAATTTCTTTTAAAAAGAACAAATTGTTTAAAAGTGCTGTAAATACCGTTTTCATATCAACAGTGTCGACAAAGTGCAGCATAGGGCAGTGGTTCTGTGTGGTAGTTCAAAGTGATTCCAGGTTATTCATTAGCTCAGCTTCATTCAGGCAGTGCTTGGGTAGCTGTGTTAATTAGCTAGAAAGTAAACCATTTCTTCAAGAAAATCATGGATTCAGACTTTACACCAGACCTTGCAAATGAACTATAAATATATGACCAATTGAGTCTGATAGAGAATTGGGGTTAATAGAAGAGTATTTCAGAAAGTTTGTGGAAAATTTGATTAATAAATTTATTGCAAAAAATCTTTTGAAAACCATGTATGTAAGTTATCTTTAAAAATTTCATGGGAAATGTATATTATGAAAAAAAGTATGCTCAGATTTCAGCATTTTTGGTACCAGAATGAATTTATCTTATTTTTAAAGATTCATTTAGTTATTTTGAAACAGTTACAGACGGGTGGGAGGGAGAGAAAGAGAGAATGAATGAATGAATATCTTGATCTTTCATCTGCTGGTTCACTCCCCAGATGGCCAAAATGGACAGTGCTGGGCCAGACCGAAGCCAGGAGCTTCATCTGGGTCTCCCACATGGATGGCAGGGGCCCAGACACTTGGGGCCATCTTCCACTGCTTTTCCCAGGCCATTAGCAGAGGGCTGGATCAGAAGTGGTCAGCTAGGACATGCACTGGCTCCCATATGGGGGTGCCATGCCAGCCCCTAGAACAAATTTATTTGTTAATTCAAATTTCCATGAACTTTCTGAAGTACCCTTGTGTATTTTCTCAGAAAATAAGGGAAAATTTTAGTAAGGAGGAAATGTCAGTGAAGTTGAAATTAATGTTTGAGGGTTCATAAGAATCTGTTTGAAATGATGAGACAGTTGTGACTTTTGAGAAAAATTCAATAAAGAGAATAGAGACAGTTTGACATATTTAGGATGGAGTTGAAGATGTGCAGAAGTGCCAGTGATTTTAGATTATTCTCTTGGGAAGGCAGGCCCTGAATGAGAGGCACAAAACTATAGGGACAGTGTTGAGGCACAGAAAATTGTCTTGATTGGTGGCTATGTAAAGAAGACCATGAGAGAATACTGTGGTGCATAGATTTAAAAAGGCTGAATCATACTGATTTAGGTAATTATTAGCTCTGATCTTTGTAAGTATTCTGTTTACATCTCAAACGTTGTCTAATCGTACCCTTAGAATATAAGTAAATAATATGTAACAAGTCTTCTCAGTTCTAGGATTAAGCCACAGATGGGTTAGGTGTAGACCTCACCAAAGGTTAAAAATTGATATAAATGACTCAAAGGGCAGGATAAGCTATTAAAATGAAGTGTAAGAATAGAACTGTCTTGTTTAGATCAAATGGACAGACACATCTTTATGCATGCAGTTTGGAAGAATTTAGTTTGAACTATTCTGTTGTCTGTTTTTCCCAATAAATGGGGAGTACATGATAAAGAATGATGAAAATTGGGGCTGGTGTTAGCCTGCAGTGCTTGCATCCCAAGCACTGGTGCGAGTCTTGTTCGCTCTACTTCAGATCCAACTCCCTGCTAATGAGCCTGGAAAAGTAGTGGAAGATGGCCTGAGTGCTTTGGGTCCCTGCCTCCCACACAGGAGACGAGTTCTAGGCTCCTGGCTTTGGCCTGGCCCAGTGCTGACCATTGTGGCCACTTGAGTGAACCAGCAGATGGAAGGTCTCTCTCTCTCCCTCTCTTTGGAACTCTGCCAGTGCTCTGAACATATCCAGCTGGTTTTCTGTCATCAGAGGCAAGAACCAGGATTTGGGTGGCCCTAGGCAATGATGGTTTGGACTATCATTAGTTGAGTACTTAAGAACAGTGATAGCTGAGATGTGCAAATTTCAGCTTCTAAAATAGTATTCTTGGCATGCTTTTTCTTCTCAAAGATCAATTCCATAATTTAATGTTAGGAAAATTTCTTTTAGGAATTATTGGGACCCCGTAATGGCCTAAGGAAGTAAAATATATACCTTAGTACAAGGCTGCTGGAGGCATTTAGTGGTGCCCCTCTGTTTACGGGGGTTTTCATTTCCTGTGACTTATCTCAGAAGAGAGTTTGATTGACTGACTCACATTAAGGACTGCAGTGACTATTAGATTTCTTTAGGGCTTAATGTGTTTAACGGGGTTTGCTTTTTACCTGAGGTAGTACCTTCAATTAAAATGTATTGACCATGTCACTGTAGTGATAGTTTCTATTCAACAATTAAATCATCATTGCTTTTGCAGAGTTCATAGTATAGTTGCCATAATGTAGTTAGAATATCCTATTTATGGAATTCTTGGAGCCATTCAGAGAGATAACGAATTTTTGATATCGGGGTCCTGAAATTCTTTTTAGGAGGCAACCACTTATTTCATTTATGACAAAGCTTGCCCTGAATGAAGACGGTTAATCCTTACTAAATGGAAATGTCTGAATCCTATGTAAAATCATTTATATAAATACAAGATGAAGCAGGGAACCTAGTGTCTCAAGTGAAACTTTGTTACCTTCTCCTCCTCCTCCACCTCTTCCAAATTAGTATGTGTTTGGGTTTCCGGTAGCTAGAGTGTATGTATTGTTGTCGTCTTCTTTTTTTTTAAGATTTATTTATTTGAAAGAGTGAGACAGACGGATAGAGCAGAGATCTTCCATCCACTGGTTCACCCTCCAAATGGCCACAATGGCCAGAGCTTCCAGATCTCCCACATGGGTGCAGGGCACAAGTGCTTGGGCTATCTTCTGCTGTTTTCCCAGGCCGTTAACAGGGAGGATCAGAAGTAGAGCAGGTGATGGCTTTACCCACTGTGCCATAGTACCAACCCTAATAATTGTTCTTTTAAACAATTTTTTTTTTTCATCTAATTGAAAGGCAGGCAGAGATTTTCTTTCCAGCCGCTGGTTCACTTCTCAAATGCCCGCAACAGCCAGGACTGGTCCAGGCCACAGCCAGTCTCTCACATGGGTGACAGGGCCCCAAGCACGTGGGCCATGATCTGCTGCCTCCCAGGGTACATTAGCTGGAAGCTGCATTGAAAGCGCAGTAGTGGGGGCTTGAACTGCCATTCCAGTACTGGATGTGGGCATCCCAACCAATGGCTCAATATGTTGCACCACAAAACCTGCCCAGCAAATGTTGTTATTTATAATGTTGCCATTCAGTGTTCTTTCTGTTTCTTAGGACATTGGTTTTTGAACTTGGAAAACATTGGGAAAACTTGGGAGCATGTGCTCTCTTCCACACACACAAATACATTAGAATCTCAGCAAGTTCATGAAATAGTTTATGGAAGGCTTTAAATCAATTTTGCAAAAAGTCAATGAAAAAGAGGGGAGAGTTGGAAATGTTTCCTTGGGAAAGGGGCAGTCCCAAGTATGTGTCTGGTCTTGTAGAACACTCGAATGGGAGCCTGGTCTGTGGTCTCCTGGATGGCAAGACTTGGTGGATCCTGTCAGCTAAACCCAGTGTCCACCGGCACCAGCATTAGACCTTTGCTTTTGTATTAGATTTTTTGCTCCCTAAAACAGTTTTACCCTTTTTAGTATGATGAATATCTTTGATTCAAAGGAGTGCTTATATGAGGGAGATCCTGATTGGGGAAGTTTGTGTTTCTTGAATGAGCCATGGGGTTTGTCTTCCTGGGTACGTCACTGTCTACTAAAGCTCAGTTGATCTGAATACAGGAAAAGAAATAAGGGCTTGTTGTTTCAGCAGTCTATGAACTGCCTCTGTCTCAGCCATCATAGCTTTATAAGCAGTGTCCACAGTCAACCTGACACCTTTACTTGTTTAGAATTAGATACCCTAAGTTAATGTTCTATTTGTGGAACAGAAAGGTGGGAGCTGGTTTTAAAACAAAGGTATTATACCTTTTTCTTTTTCTTAATGATTAAGTGCTTGCTTGCTAAAGTAACATGTTATTTTTCTGTTTCTTTTTCAGATGATTCTTGGAGAAACCCTGTCTGTTTACTTTAACCTTTTGCACTCAAATTCCTTTGTTAGGAATAACTACATAGCCACTATTTACAAAGCCATTGGAACATTTTTATTTGGTGCAGCTGCTAGTCAGTCCTTGACTGACATTGCCAAGTATTCGATAGGCAGGCTGCGGCCTCACTTCTTGGATGTTTGTGACCCAGATTGGTCACAAATCAACTGCAGTGATGGGTACATCGAGAACTACGTATGTCGAGGGAATGCACAGAAAGTTAAGGAAGGCAGGTGAGTTGTTGAATCACTACAGTTGTTCTATCTTGTGCACTCTGGGAATGGAGGTTTCAGTGTCTGGAAGGTGAGCCTTCCACTAGTATACTTAACTGGGAAGTGAATTGAGATAAGGTGTGGCTTGCTCTCCCTTCTCATTCTTTCTTCCTATTTTATCCTCATCCATTTAAGAAGATTTCACTGCAACTGTTTTTATCATCAGTGTATAAGAATGCAAAACGAACCTTACAGATCATTTAGGCCAGGGCCAGCAAACTATTTGTAGAAATGCCAGATAATAAATATTTTAGGCTTCGTGGGCTTTAAGGTCTTTCTCACAACTATCAAACTGTGTCACAAGTACTTGAGCCCAAGTACTTGGGCCATCCTCCACTGGCTTCCCAGGCTCGTTAGCAGAGAGCTGAATCAGAAGTGGAGCAACTAGGACTTGAATCTGTGCCCATGTGGGATGCTGGTGTTGCAGGTAGCGGATTAACCTGCTGTGCCACAACCTTGGCTCCTGTAGCTGTGTTTTTGAAGGCTTATACCTGATGCTACAGAAATACTGCATGTCATGTATTAGTTTGTTTAGAACCAAGTGAAGTGGGTACTTATTTTCCATGATTTAGACTATCCTGGGTATTAATCTCCTTATTACCTGGCATAAATATCTAAACTTTAATAGTGCTGGCCATTTGCTATTCAATCTTATCCTTTAGCATTATTTGTTTTTAAAGATTTATTCATTTATTTGAAAGAGCAGCAGAGAGAGGTAGAGACAGAGAGAGAGGGATCTTACATATGCTGGCTCACTTCCCAAATGGCTGCAAACAGCCAGGACTGGCCCAGGCTGAAGCCAGGAGCCAGGTGCTTCCTCCTGGTCTCCCATGCGGGTACAGGGGCCCAAGCACCTGGGGCCATCCTCCACTGCCCTCCTGGGCCACAGCATCTTTTAATGCCCAGTGTCTGCATTGGCAGGAGGCTGGAATTGGCAGCTACAGCTGGGAATTGAACCAAGGCACTCCAGTAGGGGATGCAGGCATCTTAACCTGTCTCTTAACCATTAGAACAAATGCTTGCCTTGGATACACTTTTGATCTAAGTACACTTGGACCTTTTGTTCATCAGACTTTAATATACCTTGCTATACCTGCAGTTTTCCACTTAAAGTCCTGTATGAGTGTTGGGAAAACGGTCTCTTTAAGAGCAGTAGGAACATCCATAACTCAGATTGTAGAGTTATGTGCAATTAAGCTTTAAAATTCTTTAAGCAAGGATAAGGGACAAAAATAAAATGTAAAAATAAAATTTTAGGAAGACTGTATTTTCCTAGGGAAGTATGATTTCTATCGGTGTTTCCAGAATGAGTCAGTTGTTGCCAATTTCAGAACTGTATATTATTGGTACATAACTGTGGCTTTCCATTCTCATTCTATTGTGGAATATAGTTTGGCTGGGTACAACTCTCCTTCTCTTTTGAATTTTAAAAGGAAGCCAACAATGCAAAAATATTTGTCTATGCATTATTTGTAGGTTGTTACCAGCAGTGTAACCTGATCTTAATTTATCTGCCCAGCCTGTCCTCATAGAGATTTAAACTGTAAAGTTTCTCATGCTTGAAATCTGGGAGAATGGAACATAAGCACCCAGATGAGTCATTTTTGTTGACTATATGAATGAGTCAGAGTTACATGTTAGGATGAGGATATTGTCTACAATTTTGGTTTTGGTTTTGAGTTTTTCCCGTTTGTTTTCTTACTTTCTCAGCACTGTCTTCTTTCCTGCATGTGTGCCGCTCTTACATCACTGGTCTCTCCCTCTCCCTCCTCCCCTCTCCCCCCTCTCTCTCTGCCTCTCCCTCTCTCTCTCTCTGCCTCTCACTCTCTCTCTGTAACTGACTTTCAAATAAATAAATAAATCTTTTAAAAAAATGTGATTAAAAGGCCAGTACCTCTTTCCAACCCCCCATTTGAATGTTACTTTATTTTTTATTTTATTTTTTTTAAAGAGCTGGGGCTGGGTATTGAACTTGGGCACTCTAATACAGGATTTAGGAATCTTTTTTTTTTTTTTTAAGATTTATTTATTTTATTTGAAAGTAAGAGTTACAGAGACAGAGATCTTCCATCTGCTGGTTTACTCCCTAGCTGGATGCAACAGCCAAGGCTGGACCAGATGGAAGCCAGAAACTTCTGGGTCTCTCATGTGGGTAGCAGGGGTTCAAGCACTTGGGCCATCTTCCACTGCTTTCGCAGGCCGTTAGCAGGGAGATGGATCAGAAGTGGAGCAGCTGGGACATGAACTGGTGCCCATGTGGGATGCACATCACAGGTGACAGTTTTACCTGCTATGTCACAATGCTTGCCCTGGGACATAGATATCTTAACCACTAGGCCAGATAGTCACACCTGGAGGGTTTATTAAAGTACAGGTTGCTGGGCCTCACCCCACAGCTCCTGATTCAGTGAATCTGGGGCGAGTCTCAAGAACTTTCCCAGATGGTACTGATGTTGCTGATGGAGAACCACTGCTTCAGTCTCTTCCCTGAAGTTTCTAAATTCCGCCAATATCGACTGCTTTTATATCTTTTTCACCAAAATGTGCATGTTGCTCCTGTAGTGCTCACTGTGGAAAATGTGTTGGGGTAGTGTGTGTGATAGAAAGTGATAATATTTCTTAAAGATACAATACTGCATGAATCAGAGGGTGGCAGTGTTATTTGTAGTTAAAGCAGGCATTTTAGAAGATGAGATTGGAATGTATAGAATTGAGATGGAACATGTTTTAGATCCAGGAAGCAACACGATCAAAGGCAGGTAGGCTAGAGGTTTAGGGTATTCAAGTTTGGGGTCAGGTATTAGAGGGATTGGAGTAATAGTCTCAGAAATTTGAACTGCATGCTGTTGAAAATGTAAGGAAGGGGCTGGCACCGTGGTGCAGCAGGTTAAAGCCCCGGCCTGCAGTGCTGGCATTCCATAAGGGCACTGGTTGGAATCCCCGCGGCTCCACTTTCAGTGCAGCTCCCTGGTAATGTGCCTAGGAAAGCACAAACGATGACCAAAGTCCTTGGGCCCCTGTACCCACATGGGAGACCTGGCGGGAACTCCTGGCTCCTGGCTTCGGATTGGCACAGCTTTGGCTGTTGCAGCCATTTGAGGAGTGAACCAGCAGATGGAAGACCTATCTCTACCACTTTCTGTTGCTCTTTCAAATAAAGGAAATAAATCTTAAGGAAATGGGCTGGCGCCGCGGCTCACTAGGCTAATCCTCCGCCTAGCGGCGCCGGCACACCGGGTTCTAGTCCCGGTCGGGGCGCCGGATTCTGTCCCGGTTGCCCCTCTTCCAGGCCAGCCCTCTGCTGTGGCCAGGGAGTGCAGTGGAGGATGGCCCAGGTGCTTGGGCCCTGCACCCCATGGGAGACCAGGAAAAGCACCTGGCTCCTGGCTCCTGCCATCGGATCAGCGCGGTGCGCCGGCCGCAGCGCGCCGGCCGCGGCGGCCATTGGAGGGTGAACCAACGGCAAAGGAAGACCTTTCTCTCTGTCTCTCTCTCTCACTGTCCACTCTGCCTGTCGAAAAAAAAAAAAAATCTTAAGGAAATGAAGGCACAGACTGATATGTGGAGACCAGTTGGGAGAATGTGGCACTAAGCCTGGTGCAAGTAGTATGGGCCTGACCCAAGATAGCAAAGCAGACCATGTATAGGGCTTGCTTTAGGGGATAGGTTTCCTGAAATTGAGGTACAAGGTGCTGGCAAGAAAGGGAAAAAGTACTGCTCAGTTTCCAGGGAATGAGGAAACTGATAATAACCCTTGAGGATTCCAGAAATTTGCTGTGAATGGCATCCGCCTCTCCTAGACCAGCCAGTTTACTGAGCAGTGACTTACCACTAGTGCCTTGGTCTAGACTTGAGTTCCTGTGATGCTGTCCTTCCCCGAGCAAGCAGACAGAAAACATTTGTGTGGCTGTGGAGTTTTTAGTGCCAGTCTTTTGAAAGAATGACTTTTGGGAAAACTTTTGATAACATTAGTAAAATTATTATCCTTTAATGTAATTAATTTACCATGTGTGCACTGGTGAGAGAGATTATAGAATTAGCTAACATTTTATGTTTGTGTTATGTTAGCCATTTTTTTCTTGTGTAATCTATTACAACTGCAATATTTTGCTTCTGAGGTAATGCTTGGAAACTGAAGAACAAGACACCAGTTTGCAAGACTGGGTTTACTGAAGGACAGAAATCCTCCTTTAAAACTTGAGAAAGTTTTTCATGTAGGCAGTGGAACAGAGGATTCAAGCAGTACTACATCCTTTCTCCTTATTTGTCAGCTGCTATACTGTTTTAAGTTTTTTTAAAAGTTTATTTATTTGAAAGGCAAAGCAACAGAGATGGAGAGAGAGAGAGGGAGAGACATCTTCCATCTGCTGGTTTTCTTCCCAAATGACTGCAACAGCCAGGTCTGGGCCAGGCCAAAGCCAGGAGACAGGTATACCAGCTGGGTCTTTCACTTGGGTGGCAGGGTCCCAGGAACCTTGTCTTCCTCTGCTGCCTTCCCAGGTGCATTAACAGGGAACTGGATCAGAAGCAGAACAGACAGGACTCCAGCCGGTGCCCATCTGGCATGCCAGCATGGCAAGCTGCAGCTCAGTCTACTGCATCACAATAACAAGTCCTTCTGTTTAACCTTTGAAGATGTTTTTGACACTTTAAAATTTATAGCAGACTCCACCCATCTCTTCATCATCTTTGGAATTATTTGCTCAACTAGAATGTGACTGCCTTAAAATGTAATAAGGATTTTGGTACATTTTACACACATTAAATGCTTGCCAGATGTTTTGGGAAGATGTGTTAGGTCTGGGGTATTTATGTTAACATATTTTGTCACTGTGCCTGGGAGTCTGACACAAGAGTGACAAGAGCTAGATGTTATCTGGGATTTCCTGATGCTCCTTGGCCCTGATAAAATCTGAATTTCTAACCACTACAGGGGGAATACATTAGTGTGTGTGGTGCCA